TCTGATTTGATGGCAAGATTCTTTTTCCCCATGGAAACGTCAACTTAATTAATGCTCTCTGCAACCATTCCCATCAGTGGTAGAAAGCTTTGTGTGGCAATCAGCTTTCCAAAAGATTGTAGCCTGGGAGACCCACTCTCCACGTTAAAATCACCTTGGGCTAGAACAGACTTAATAAGGTTTTTAGAAATGAGCCTCCTAATTTAGCAAGTTCCTAATTAAATATGTAGGTCTTATTAAGATATTTTAACACATTATATATATTTAGAATTTATTGAACTGTGAATATATTGCTTGTGAATAGTATATTGTTTTAAATTAAACTTGAAACTATTTTTCTTTTGTGATTTATTTCTAGGATGCTCAGAAATCTGAGAAAAATGGCAAATGTGGATGATGAGCCAAGGCATCGTCTCATCTCTGAGGTCGATCATGAAAGCAATCCTGGACCAATGAATATCCAGTTTGATTCATCAGATCCAAGATCGAAAAGGTAAAGGTGTTCTAAAACAATTATTTCATAGCTATGATTTTTGATTAATAAGTAAAATATTTAGATCAGATCATAAAATGTGTAGTTTTTAAGCGGAATTGTTTATATGTATGTGAGGGGATAAATATGAATGCTATCTCCTCATTTGTGTTTGATGATTATTATTTTTACTAAACTCAAAATCTCCATAGAAGAGGAGTTCATGTAAGTTTGAGGAAATAAGGTTATTATTGGTCAGTGCCATTGAGCTGTGTGCAGCTGACTTATAGTGACCTTATAATGAATCCGAACCTTGTCCTATCCTGTGCTGTCCTCACATCTCTGACATCCTTGAGGCCACCGTTAACAGTCACTGTGACAATCCATCTCATTGAGGGTCTTTCCTTTACTGACTCTTGACCTTTCTAAGCATAATGTCCTTTTTCAGGGCTGGCCTCTCCTAAAAACATGACCAAAGTATGTGAGGCAAATCTTCACTTATCCTTGCCTTCCAGAAATATCGTGAATGCACTTTTTCCAAGATATATTTGTTTGTTCTTTTAGCAATCCATGGGATATTCAACATTCTTTTTCAACTCTACAACTCAAAGGCATGGATTCTTCTTATATGTCATCCTTATTCACTCACTTTCAGCTGTATAGCAAGTAATTGAAAAGGTGGTGGTTTGGAACAGAGGGCCCTTAGTCTTAAAACTGACATCATTGCTCTTCAGTACTTTGGAGAAGTCGTTGACTGCACACTTTCCCAACACAAAGTATCTTTTGATTTCCTGAATGCTGGTGCCAAATGTATTTGATTATAGATTCAAGCACGATGTCATTGGCAATTCCTATCTCTGCTCCATCTATCAGAATGTTGCCCAGTAGTGAGGATTTTTGTTTTCTTGATGTGGAGATGTAATTTATATTGGAGACTGTAATCTTTGATTCTCTGAAGCAAGTGTCTCAAGTTTTCTTCACTTTCAGTACACAAGGTTGTATCATATTGATGATTCTTCCTCTGATCCTGATGCCACACTCTTCTTCATAGCATTGGCCACTTCATTTCTGTTGCCACGTTCTTCTTCATGGCATTGGCCTCTTTGACTCAGACAAATATGTGATCTATTATGCAGGAAATGAAAAACTGAGGAAATGGCATCACATTCATGTTAAAAAAGGAAGTAGGATACAATCAAACAATTCATTTAACAACTGTTGACAATATGGAAGGGACTGAAGGGACAATAGAAGTAATAGTCACAATCTTTCTCTTCATTAGGCTTGTGTCTAGCACATGGTTTAAGATAATTAGAGAGAAAATTTTATTCTTTTGCATACATTTAAAACCTATAAGACTCCATTGACAAATTATATGGAAGTGGTAAGAGATTTGAGTAAATCTATTAGGTTGCTAGAAGACTGTTATTGATTTTTTGCTCACAAAATAGACAAGAATCAACAACAGCCTTCTAGTAAGAAAATGTAACAGAAAATTACAGATACAGCAATACATTAATAAGAATGTGTAAAATCTGTTTAAGAGAAGCTTTCAAAGACATACTGCTGTTGCTGTTATGTGCCGTTGAGTTGAGTACGACCTATAGTAACCCTCTAGATCTGAATCCCGTGCCATCCTCGTCATCTCTGATGCACATGAGCACATTGCTGCAGTCACTGGGTCAATCCGTCTCAACGACAGTCTTTTTTTCACTGACTCTCCATGTTTCCTAGCATTATTTCCCTCTCTAAGCAATAGCCTCTTCTAGCTACATACCAAAATATGTGAGACAAAGCTTTGTCATTTATGCTTTCAAGGATAAGATTATTTTATCAAATCTGAAATGATAATGGTTCAAGTTACAAGTTACAGTTTAGATTTTTAAAAAATATCACACCAAGGAAGTAAAACTTCTGCCAGTGCTGCTTATACAGTTATTTTTTTCTCACTTAAAATTTTATGATTAAAAAAAAATTTAAAAAAAAAAATTTATGATTAATTCAAGAACTCTTGTTTTTGTTTTTGTTTTTTTTTTTCAGGGTTCATATTGGTTCATTATAGGGTCTCTATGAATTGTATTTGACTAGACAGTGTTTAACAACAATAGGAATTCCATCAATTACGTATAATTACTCATGTATACATTGTTTTTGTTTTGTTTTG